AAAAAGTAAACCCTTGAAAAAAGACCTAAAAAACAGCTACCGTAATATCTCCAGCCAAAGCGTCCGGGTTCATCCGTAAAAAAGAAAAAGAAAAAGGAAAAAGAGAAGAAAACAACTCGGCCTGTCAAGTACTTCATCAAAAACAGACCCGGTTTCGAGTCCCATAGTTCACAGCTATCCCCATATTCTGAAAAAATCTAGGACACTCGTCATCGAACAACAAATATCCCCAAGCTCACAAACCCATCACCTGGTCCTAAGGACGGACCCGACTACAGACCCCTTCATTTTGGCCAAAAAAGGTATCCAATTTCTCCAAATTCCCCCAAACTTTCGCGAAAAGCTGATCAAAGCCGTATCAAACAGGTAATCGGGGTACTCCCTCTTCCATAATTCATATTTCAAAGCCGTCAAAAATCTCAACTCCATCCCTTCAATCGAGGTGTAATTCCTGGCCCTGTGTAGGAACGACCCAATCATAGCCATTTTTTGTTGCCGGTTTGAAAAAGAAACGTAATCCTGCAAACATTGAAAAACAAAACCTTCCTGCGAAACGGTCCTCTGATTCTTCAAAACTGGACAGCAAATCACTGCAACGCCTCCTTGCACAATCCTCAGCTCGCATCCCAAGTAATCCCATGAACAGCCTGTGCTTGTCTGCTCAAGAATTAGATTATCGTCATAACAGTCGACAAACTCCTCAATCATCCTCCTACCAGTCATTAAGGAGTTGTAATCATCGTAATCACCTATCTTACAGCGGACAAACATCGAGAAATCATCAATTAATCTAAACCCTGAGAACAATTTGCGATCCGCACCCAAAGAAGAAAGGAAACAAAACTCATTAAAGGTGCAGAGCAGGCATGCTAGGGCGGGGCAAGAGGATTTCCCCATGGGGATGCCAATAGTTTGTCGAAGAACAACTCCTCCCACCGAAATAAACGTATGCTCCAGTTCAACTTTGACAAAATCGAATATCGAATCAAAGGAAACGAACTTCCAACCGGACTCAATGTGACCGGTAAGTAACTTGGGACCTTTTCCAAACTTCCGTACAGCAACACCTTTCGCCTCTTTACGTTCCCATACATCAATGACCCATGTCAAAGCATCAAGAATAGAGGGGTGAGGGAGATGAGAAAACATCTCTTTGACATCGAATGAGGCACCAATCAAGCGCTCATCTGGACCAATGTTCGAATTGATCTTCTTTAAAGTTACGACTAAATCGTCAGCACTCCGCAAATTCAGATTACTATTATGGGGTAAATTCCAAAGCATCTCACTCACGGCATGCGAAACCGTCTTGCCGCCAACAACCGAGCATTCGGGGTAGGAAGGACATATCGGCCTCCATCTACCACCATCCTTGTGCTTCGGAATACAGTAGGCTTTTCCCAAAGATTCCAAGGTGTTCCAACGTCCAACCTTGTCCAAACCCAATTCACAGTAGTCCTTACGCACTCCCAATAAAACAGATTGCTTCCCTCCCCCTTCCTTAACGAAAGCAGGATTATCCAAGAACATCTTCTCCAGCCCAATCCTGAAATTCACGGGACACTCCATTATGGTCGATCGGAATACGCACTAACCCATCCAAGCGTTCAGCCAGATTCCTGACATCATCTTCAGTAACTGCCATAGATCCCTCTGACGTGCCAGCATTAAGACAATCCATGAGTACATGACTCTTCAACAAATTCGTGTCAACCAAGGGTAGGTCGGTGTAGGAAGAAAAGGAACTCAGCAGTTGTCTTCGCAATAGTCCAACCGAATTACAAGCAGAAGGTCGAGTAACATTACGGGAATTCTTCGCCCAGAAAGGAATGGAGTGAAGATCGTTCAATCGAAAAACAACGTGACCATTAACTCGAGGGAAATCAAGATCAGAATCAACGCAGGAGCAGGTAAGGGAGGGAAGACAGGAAAAATTGCGAAAATTATGGATCAATTGTCCAACTGTTTTGTTTCGAGTCCAAACTACTCTCAGTCGACGAACGAGCATCACTTTCCATGCAAATCCAATATCCATAGCGTTAAGAATACGGGAGCACAACTTCCTGACTTTAGTTTTGCATAAACCCTCGTCATACCTTAATCGAACAACCAATCGCTTCCTGACTGAGACCCCAAACCGTTTCTGAACAACAGTCGACAAAAAACATCGCAATCGAAAACGTGAACGTTTTTCGGAAAAAGTCCTGACCGCACTGTACGCAAAACAGAGCTTATCAAAGTCCCATGCATAGGCCAATCTCTTACTGGCCGGATTACTTAGAAAGTTTACCAAAGGCCCTTTAAAAACCAGTGATCGACATAAAAATGGAATTAGATTCTCAACGTGAAAAATTGTCCCGCCCTTCATCCATCCTCTTGCAGAGCGCAGTTCTAACCGTCCAAACTCGCTAGAAACCAAACTCCCACCGTACATTCTCCGAACAACCTTTCATTTCTCCACCAAAAGATCCCCCCCCAAACATTCGATGCTAGTGTGGTGTATATTCCTCCATTTACATTCGTCCAAGATTCCCAGCAGACTCCTAGAAGTAAACCCGATACAACATCGGAAAAGAATCAGATCATGGTTACGGCCAGTCGTATCAATCATATGTTCCGACACATCAACAGATCGTCTCATCCTCCGTAGTCTTTCACGACGTCCTAAACGATTCTTCTTACCTCGCTTGCGTTTATCCCGGCTATTAAGGGTGGGGCAGATCTGTCGAATAATTTTTTTTCAATATCCAATACATCATTATCCGAGCATCGGTAAATGGGAATCACCACATAATCAGCCAACAACCCCTACGTCGCAGCCATCGATATAATCACTCATTTAGCTTCCCTTTACTAATCCCATAGCCATTAGAGAATCGATAAACGTGTTCAGCCCAACGGGTATGCAGATCTCTAGTGGTACTACCTACATAGATATGCTTACACCAAGGCGAAAAAAGCACGTACCCCAATGGTCCCACAAAATCACCCGAAACATCCTCATCGCAAGCCAAATAACGAGAGATAAAAGGGATTAACCGTTTTCCCCAAGGAATCACTCCGGAAATCAACAGTAAACAAGTTGTCACGCATAACAATCTGTTCACCACTCTACATCTCAATAACTCATTGGAATAACGAAATTTACACAGATAGCGGACCGAAGCCCAAAGGTCAAATGCGCTCGGGAAAGTCACTAAGACACAGCGACATCAGTATCGTCATCCCTTTCAACCGCTTCCGAATCCCCAGCAGACACTTCCACAACGGAGGTAGCCTTCTCCTTACCTTTGTTTTGATCCTCTACCCCAAAGGCCTTCTCAACTCTTCTGGTGGCAATCGCCTCCTTCGTAGGTTCCAGAGTAGTGTACGGCACACCTTCCTCTCGGCAGATTTCTTGAATCTCCTCCTTGTTCTTTCGTCGTAGATTCTTCTTCTCCATCTGCAAAAGCCCATCACGATCATTAGCTTCGATACCGACAGGTGCAGCCTTCTTCTTCGAGGAAGGTGGACAAGGTGGTTTATAAGTAAAAGTGTCGGCGACTTCATCCATTCGTGTCTTGAGATTGGTCCCCTTCTGCCGTTGACTCATAGCTAACCGCGCCATCTCCACCTTCAACTTCTCAACTTCCTTCTCAGCCTCAATTCTTCCGTTGACATCTTTCAAACGCATCTCTTTAAGTAAGTTAACTTCCATATTATGGCAATCAACAATCCCCTTCAAATTTGGATTGATTCTGCCCTCGGTACGTACAGAAGACGGTCCAGGTACATCGGTGGCCTGACGAGGAGTCCCCTTCAAACGAGATCTAGTCTGCGGTAGCAGAGTCTCGATCGCGATGCTCCCTCTCTTATTTCTTGGACGCAAGGCTTCAGCCTTCCACAATTCAGCACTTGCTTCAGCAGCTTCTTTACTCTGGGTCAAACTGTTAATCCGTTCCTCCATAACAGCAAAGTGTCGATCGGCAGCAGTCCTCATCTCCTCTTGTTCAAGTCTGATCTTGAACACCGTATCCAAATCAGTATGAACAGAAGGCATAGGAGTGACCGCTTCCTTAGCTCTCGTACGTCTGGCAACATCTTCACGCAGCCTAGCAAGTTCATTCGCTTCTTGATCTCTCTTATCGATCTTTTCGCTGATCTTCTCCCATTGCTTCCCCAGCTCCTAACTAAGCCTGGAGTGTTGTTCCTCGCGATCCTGTTTGTCTCTTAATCTCCTCTCCTCCTCTTCTTTCTCCTTATTTCTTCGTTCAATCTCTTGTTTCTCTGCTAGTTCCTTTGCTTCGTCGGCGTCATGTCTGGTCTTGATCTTGCCGACGATGTCTTCAAGAGTGGCCACCCGATTACGGAGCCAATACTTCTCGTTCAAATACCCATTAGACTGATTGTTGGAAAACTGTGGCATGGCTGTACCTACTCCCGCCATGTTGCTTGGTCCAGTCGCCAATGGTTGAGCTGGAACAATCGCCATGTTCATGTTCGCCTGACCTCCGTTGAGTCTTTTATCCGGAAGATGACAAAATCTTGAAATGTGCCCCTGCTGTCCACAATTGTAGCACGACCTGTTATCGGTAATCCGCAAGTTCGCTTGAGACGCCATTGATATCGAAGCCACACGAAACATAGTACTACTCCAACGTTGGTTACTTCGTGTGTGAATGTACTCTTTAGTGACAATCACGAAAGATAAGCGAATGAATGTGAACCCGAAAGAAGTCAATGCAACACACGTCAGCTGAGGAAAAGAGGGGAGGAGAGAGGAGTGATACACAAGGAGTCCTTGAAAAGCCCGAACGCAACTTCATTAAAGATAGACAAGAAAGAGCATAGCGATTTCTCGCTTGGCGTTGACCCGACCGGTTTCGCGCGGCCGCCAAACCGCGCTCATCAGGGGTCTTAGAAGTCATGTCAAC